CTGGTGAACTGGAGACCTGTCCAGGTGTCTCTGGTGAACTGGAGACCTGTCTAGGTGTCYCTGGTGAACTGGAGACCTGTCCAGGTGTCTCTGGTGAACTGGAGACCTGTCTAGGTGTCCCCTGCCTTCACCCAAAGGCAGCGAGGACAGGTTCCAGCCCCACCCTGACCCAGATAGGATCAAGGAGGACAGGAGGAGGATTTTTCTTTATAGCAGGAAACAGACATTTAATAATAAAACAGGATTTATTTGATGTTAATCTGAATCAGTTTAGTGTTTGTAAGTATATTTGACACTTTTGTAGGAATGAACACGTTTGTAATGTTTGTTCAAAATAAACCTGCGTCTTATAACTTCTTTAACATGTTTTGAATAAAATATTATCAGTAAAAACCTCAAATCATGTCCTTTCTAAGAATTATTAGAACTAGAAGAACTGTAACTTTGCAGTTTCCCCAAGGATTTTTTAACCGTGGTGGTGACCTCTCATGTGGGGGTTTGACAAAATCTGGTTGTCCAAAAAATATCTCAATAAAAATATAATTTAATAAGTAGGCTATATTGTTCTGTATACAAAGTGTAATATATACAAATGTTCTCAGTCAGCAGGTTGACAGTTTTAGGAGCTGCTTCAGGAGAACTTCCTCGTTTTCCTCCTCATCCTCTTCTTTGAAATAGAGATAAAAAACCAACATCCATAAACTTTCTGCTTACAGGTCAAACATTTTTATTTAAATACGAGTACACTGTGTACTTATTAAAAGTTACAGTTTAGTGTTCTTTGGACTGAAGACTTTCTGAGGAAAGAAGTTTTTAAACATCTTTTCTATAATTTTAGTGTTTTCAGCAGAGGGGCTTTGATATATTTATTTAAAATAAATTATAGCAGAGGAAGTTCTCTGCACAGAAAAAATATTTTTACTGTTTTTTTAACCAAACTGACAAGTTTCTCCAGTAAAATTATTGTGTAATTTAAAGGCATTGAAACACCTGGTTAAATTTAGAAGATATTATGAATAACTACAAACATCTGAAGCTGACTCAGAGAACTCTGTGATTTTAGAAAAAATAAAAGTCAAATATAGACACGTCTTTAAAAGACCCTCCTCCCCACCCCGCACAACTGCAGTCAGCGCACCTCCACCCCACCCGCGTGATTAATACTGATTTTTTTGCCCAAATTACAGGTTTTTTTATGCTCATTATACACGTTAAACATCTGAAGGGGATGACATGTATGAACTTTAAGTCCCGGGCTGGTCGGAGCCGAGCTGTAGGTGGACATGTTTGCTGCCCCTCGCTTTAAAAACAGTCAGCTGATCTGTCACGGTTTTGTTGCGCTCGTGACGTGAACGCACAGGGGGAATTGCTGCGAAGTGCTTTTAGAAATATAATAAATATAAAATACGACGTAATCCTCGGTGGAAATTAGTCCAGGAAACGTGTGCGTTCCCGGGAGGTGTTCACCTGCAGCTGCGTGAAGCTGACCCCCCACCCACAGAGAAAGTAAAAAAAGCAGTAATTATTGATAAGGTAGTAACCATGCTGTGGCTTCACCTGTAACATTTTCTTTTAAAGACAGAAAAAGTAGCTTACAAAGCTGTCGCATCAGTGCAACGTGATTAAAAGCAGAGTTGCGCGTCTAATCTCACACACGTCTTCCTATCTTTGTGAGGACCACACACAGCGCTCATGCGCCATCTTTTCCCCCAAGTTTGGTGAGAGGTGGATATGCAGGGACGCAAAAAATAGCTCTCAACCTGATCTGGCCTTATTTAAATAAAAATGGCTACATGCCGTGAAATTCTTAGAGGGGCGGGCCGTCTCATTGGCGGGGGGGTGCGCCCCGCCTGTATAATGGTAGGGGAAACACTGGACTATCTGTAGCATGTACGTATTCAGTGTTGTATAAAGTACCACAAAATGATACTTGAGTAAAAGTACAAGTATCTTACAAAAAATTACTTTAGTAAAAGTTAGTCTTCTGTAGGAATATTACTTGAGTAAAAGTCTTACAGTATCTGATAATTTTTGGACTTAAGTATTAAAAGTAAAAGTATTGATTTAAAATGAGCAGTTATATTTTTTTAAAGACATTAATTAGGAGGTGACCTCCCTCCAAAGAATGCAGAAATGACTGTCTTATTAAAATAATTAATTTAAGTTAAATTTAGGATGCACTAGTCTAGCTGTTTCAGTTTATTTACATATACTGTATCAAGGATGCACAAACCTTTTCCCCAAAAAGAAAACCTATCTGAGGGCTGCGACCAAATGCAATAATATAATTCATAAAATACAAATACTTCTTACAGTACTTTTATTTTAATGATTACGTCCTGCTGGAGGGTGACATGATTAGTTTGTGTACAAACTAATACGGTATCAGGATTTTATACATTTGTCTTATTCAACCACAATTAAATTAACTATAGGAAGCACAATTTAAATGGATAATATTTATTTTTTACAATAACAAGCTGGAATAAATACAAGCAAAAATAAAATAAAAGTAACGACTTTCTACTTCTTGCCTTTTTAGAAATGAAAGGAGTAAAAAGTACAGATAATTGTGTGAAAATATAAGAAGTAGAAGTAAAAAGTAGGCTGAAAAATATTTACTCAAGTAGAGTACAGATACCCAAAATTCTACTTAAGTACAGTAACAAAGTATTTGTACTTAGTTACTTTACAGCTCTTCATATAAGATATTACTGGGCAGGATGGAAAGGGGCGGGGCTTTGCGAGGTGTATGGTCTGTGGCGTGTTGTTACTTTTGCCCGCTTTGGGCGCCAAACGTCATTCAACTTTTGTGTCTTTTTATTTTCTTCTTCCTGTAGATTTTTTTGGCACTTGTCAAATAACGTCGGGCCTTGGCCTGAGGGGGTAGGGGCTGCTGCTGAATTGCACATTAAACATGACAGTCATGTTAAAACAAAGAATTTTGTATACTATTTATCATAACTCTGGTTTTACTTGGCCTATCAGCAATTTAAAAACTGGTGCCTAATTTGAAGTCTCTACTTTTGACACAATTGAGAGTATTAGAGAAGGTATATCTTTCCAGCTAGTGTGATTTAAATAGATCATATGACTAGGCTTTAACGTTTTCATATACTGAAGGGAATTTGTGATCAATAAAGGAAGTCTGAATATAATAGCAGAACTACAAAATTTTCTTCAATACCATCATATTTTTAAATACCATCACCATATTTCAATACTAAGGTATCATTATACCGTCATACTGTCCAATCCTGATATAGACTATTAATTAGTAAGCTGTGGCTCCAGCCCCTGACATTTGCTCAGTCACCTGCACTAAAATGACACTACTCGTCATTTTTTTCACTTATCCAGTGAAGAAGAAAGATAAGCAGCAAGCGGTGTCAAGATCTCAGTTTGTGGTAGTGTGAGCCGCTCTGGTGAGAGCGGCAGGTGTGGAGTTCGACTGCGACAGTACACCTGTCAAACAGTAACACAGGTGTCATACAGAGAGCTCAGGGAGGAAACCTCCTGTGAAGCTGAAGGGAAACTGCACCTCTGCTGAGCGATTACAGGAGGGCTTTTTCCACAAACAATATGATGCACATTTGTTTCTGCAGATGCAAAAGGCTCAGGGGTCGGATTTATAAAACTGGCGTACGCACAATTTGAGCCCAGAAACTTGCGTACGCCACTTTTTACGCCAAGGTTGTGATTTATAAAATCCAAACTTGACATGAAAATGTGCGGTGCCTCATGCCAGCTTTGACCCATGCGTACGCTCATTTTGGAGACGTGAAACTGCAACACAGATGGTGAAGTGAGGAATTATAGGCACACTGTGTAATGATCACTGTCAGAGATTTAATTTACCTTCATCAGACTTGGATTTTTATTCAACTTTATCATCAGCTTTCTTAACAGTAATATTTATGCTTCTGCTGCTGAGCCATGAGGACCTTTGAAATAAAAAAAAACTTAAATCTTAAATAAAAGTTCACTCATCTCCATCCATCCCTCCTCCTTAGACAACCCTGACCCACAGACCCCTCCCTGACAAGGGACATTTCAACAGCACGACAGCAAAAGTCACACTTTGGGTACTCGGGCAGGGCGCGCCCACCCTAGCCAATGTGGATGTTATAAAAGTTCACAATTTACAGTCTGTATTTCTCA